GAAACCACAGAGTCTGAGATGGACACAGCGGATGTTACAGCCTTTACCACATGAAGAAGAGGATGAATTCCTCCGAGACGCTCCCGGTATAAGAGGCGAGCTACATCCGGTACACTTCCCCCGTATCCGGGGCTGAGCCAGAGGAACCGGACCCAGTGGGAAAGTGTCCCGGGACAGGCCACAAGAGAAAGGACAGGACTACCAGCCCAGACCTAGAGGAGCCTTGTGTCTTGCATTGGCATTTCTGATACCATGACAACTGGGACTCCTGACTGAACTGTCATGTGACACCATCCCTTTACAAGGGTCCCCTGGTAGTGATCCGAAAATTGGTGGATATTGTGCTCTAAGGGCTGTTCCCGGGACACACACCGAGACAAACATCCACTGCGCCTGGAGGACCATCAGCTTGGTAAAAGGCGCTCTTTGGTCTGCCCGAAACTTGTTGGTCTTTTGGTGTAAAGTGTTGGCCTCGAATGAGTGTTGCAGACTGGCACATTCCAAGGTCCAGGACTACGTGCTGAGGGACAGACTAAAGCTTGGGGCAGCTGCTGCTAAGGCACAGTGAGGAGACATCATTGCATAAAGTCTTTCTGCCAAAGTACAATGAGGGTCTGTTCAGTTATCGGACCCTCCCGGTGCCTCAAATATATATAAATATAGTTTTGTACAAGTAAGAAATGGCTTGGGTTTGTTTGTTCTGCATATGCTCTAGTGACTATGTATGCATATAAAGATTTTATACGAATAAAGTATATTTTTGAAATTTAAAAAAAGTTGTAGGTATTGCAGTCTTAAGATCTGACATGTATTAGAAAGAGAAAATAAGTGAATCATTTGTGTGGCAGATAATGAACTATGGTAAAGTTTAATAATCACAGAATTGCACAGCACAGAAGGAGCTCATTAGAACCAGCACTGGTATGATGGGTCAACAAAATAAGGAATAAATGAATAAAAATCAGTTCCAGGGCATCTCTGCAGAGTTCCTCAGGGTAGTGTCCTCGGTCCAACCATCTTCAGCTGCTTCATCAATGACCTTCCCTCCAGTAAAGGTCAGAAGTGGGGATGTTCACTGATGATTGCACAATGTTCAGCACCATTCGTGACTCCTCAGATACTGAAGCAGTCCATGACCATATGTGACAAGATCTGGGCAACATGGACTTTAGGCTCTTGGGTTCTGAAGAAGGGTCACTGAACCAAAATGAACTCCGCTTTCTCTCCACAGATGCTGCTGAACCTGCTGAGTTTTCCCAGTAATTTTTGTTTTTGTTTGAGTAGGTTGGGCTGACTGGCACGATGAAATTTTATAATGTATTCTTATTACTTTGGAACTTGGCTTATAAAATAGAGGTTAATGGGTTTCTGTGACTATTACTTTCTGTGTGTCTTTAGCAAAACAGCTAGAGAAATTACCTGTTGAGATAATTGCTGAAATGTTTTCATAAGCTTAACTTTTATACTTGGTATAAAAAGAGGACAAAGACCAGGAGTAGGCTCAGTTCAGAGGAAAAGAAGGGCCATTTAGTTTTGGTAGTCTCCAGGTCATCAGAGCTGGAAAGAAGTTGTTAGGATTTGGAATGCACTGGCTAGGAGGGTGGTGGAGGCTGATTCTATAGGACATTTCAAGAAAGCTGGTTAGCTCTTCCAGGAGCCAGTACAGACATGATGGGCCAAATGGCCTCCTTCTGTATTGTAAAATTCTATTCTACACCTTAAGCTGTTTTAGCTTAAGTGGGCAGTGTTAGATGAAGCCCTGAGCTTTCCTTACAGTTATGTCAGTGAAGTTTGTGATGTGAACTGTGTGATATATCTATCTATATAAATGTATGTTTGGGTTTCTTGTTTTCGTCTTAGTAACTTGTTGGTTTTTCTGTGCATCTGAAATTAACAATTACCTTGTAAGTATTTTTGTCACTATGGTGATTTCTGTTTATACAGTCTTTGAGGCCCAGCTTTAAAATGAATTGGTTTTTTTGCACCAATGACAGATTTTTGTTTATCTGAAATTGTTTTGTGACCCAGCAAGGCAAGTAATGGAGCCTCAAGGTTTATTTAGAAATTTTTGGAACTTTTCTTAGGCTTAAGGGAAACACCCATTGTGTAAAGAGAGAAAGACTTTTGGTTGTTGTTGTACTCTGAGATTTGGACAGTCCTTAGAATAGGGTGGGTGTGTAGATCAGTGTTCCTGAGAGGGAATGGATTTATAGTGAACTAGGCTACCTTAGAGTGAAGAGTTAGTGTTAGTTGGGATACTAACACTGCAAACAGAAACGTTGGGATAAAACCCTGAAGAGGTTACTTAAAGCTGAGTACCTTGAAGCTCAGTGTGTAATAACTCCAGAAAGAAATTCTCTGCAGTTCTAGCCTAAAAGTTGCAAACCTGAGTGACTCAAACCTACTGAGGTATTAGATACAGGAACTCTGCTATAAGTATTTTATGGATGGTGTTTTGCATATTGCACAAAAACTGTTTTGTTTCTTTTCAGTTTACAAAGGAGTGTGGTGAAATTAATGTAATTAAACTTTGACTGTGTTTAAAAATCTTTGACTTTATATTATAAGTAGATAGTTTGGTTTATTCTATTTTATTTTTGTTTATTTTGTTAATAAGCTTCTGTTTTATTGTTAAAGCAAAACCTGCAACATTGCATGACACTTCATTGGTTTTGAGTGTAAAGGAAAATGATGGGGAAAAATAGTTATTTTTCTTCTTGCTACTTACGGTAAATTTTTCAGAATTGTTTTGTTTCCCTTTTCTTTTGTGGAATAAACTTACATTCTTTTGTTAAAAATACATTGCATCTTTTTGTGAAACTGTTCGCTGACTGACCATCAAACTGCAAAAATAAAGATTTATGGTCTATCAGCCAGACTTCACTCTGGGATCTGATGTGTCCAATATTGTTACAGCTGGGATCATAAAGCCAATGACATACAAACCACACAGATGCCAGGCAATAACTATCTCTAAGAAGCTATAGGGAGAGGTTAAGTAGGCTGGGGCTATTTTTCCTGGAGCGTTGGAGGCTGAGGGATGATCTTATAGAGATTTATAAAATCACAAAGGGCATGGATAGGGGGTAAATAGACAAGGTCTTTTCCCCAAAGTGGGGGAGTCCAAACTAAAGGGCATAGGTTTAAGGTGAGAGGGGAAAGACATAAAAGGGACCTAAGGGGCAACTTTTCCATGCAGAGGGTGGTATGTGTATGGAATAAGCTGCCAGAGGAAGTGGTGGAGGCTGGTACAATTACAACATTTCAAAGACATCTGGATGGGTATATGAATGGAACGGGTTTAGAGGGCTATGGGCCAAATGCTGGCAAATGGGACTAGATTAATTTATGATATCTGGTCAGCACGGATGAGTTGGACTGAAGGGTCTGTTTCCGTGCTGTACTTCTCTATGACTCTAAGACTGAATCTAACCATTCCCCTTGATATTCAGTGGCATTACCATTGCTGTATACTCCCACTATCAACATCCCAGGGGATACCATTGATCTGTAACTCAACTGGATCAGCCTTTGAGTGACACGTTGGCTCAGTGGTTAGCATTGTTGCCTCACTCGATTCCACCCTCTGGCCACTGTCTGTGTGGAGTTTGCACATTCTCCCCGTGTCTGTATGGGTTTCCTCCGGGTGCTCCGGTTTCCTCCCACAGTCCAAAGATGTGCAGGTTAGGTGGGTTGACCATGTTAAATTGCCCCATAGTGTCCAGGGATGTGCAAGCTGGCAATGGGAAACAAGGACTGTAAGGGTTAGGGTCTGGGTTGGATGCTGTTCGGAGGGTTGATGTGGACTACCCGCTTCCGCACTGTGGGGATTCTATGATTATAATCGCAGTGGCTACAAGAGCAGGCCAGAGACTGGGAATTCTGTGGTATGTAACTCACCTCCTGTCCTGACTCCCCAAATCCTATCCACCATCGATAAAGAACAAGTCAGGATTGAGATGGAATACACCACATTTGCCTGAACTGCTACAACTCCTACAATACTCACGCAGCTTGACAGTATGCAGGGGAAAGCAGCTCTTCAATATTTACACTATTCAGCACTGCCACATGATGAAAGCAATGTGTGTCATCTATACAGTGCACTGTAAATCTCCTTCAACACCACTTTCCAAATCTGTGACCTCTACCTCCTTGAGAGGAGTGCCTGGGAACACCACCATCAGCAAGATCCCGCCCCAAAACCATCCGAGCCAGGAAATCTATGACTGGTCCTTGAGTGTCGCTGGGTCAAAATGCTGGAGCTCCTCACTAACGCTGTCCCTATGCCCCACAGACTGCAGCAGTTCAAGTCAGCAGCTCATCTTCACTTTCTGAAGGGCAATTAGGGATGGGCAATAAATGCTGGCCCAGCCAGCAATACCCATGCCCCGGTAGCAAATAAAACAAAACCCAATTTGTCACAATCCCCTACTGTAATGTTTCCCTTCTCGAATGCTTTTTGAAATCTACCTTTAATTCTGCTTCAGTACGTTTTCAGGCAGTACTTTCCTGACAGTAGTAGCTCAGGAGATTAAAAGTAAATTCTCCCAAAACTCCCGTGTGGTTCTTAAAGCGATACCACTGATTCAAAGCCCCTCATAATCTCCAATGATTCAAGTCAGAATGAATATGACTCTGGCAGGACAGGAATCAGAAATCTCCTCGTGCACCATATCAAAGGCAAGATCGTGCATCAGTGAAGGACATGACATGGATGTCAGGTGACAAAGTGTGAAACATTGGGAAGGAATAACAGGTAACTGGGTTCAGTACATTGTGATGTCGATCAGTATTGGACTGCTCTGAGATTGAACTTTAGAAGCAAAAGCAGAGAGCATCCATTAAGAGACTTTCCATTGTCTGATGGCCATTATACCCGGGTGGACAAGAACACTTGGTCACAGACCCCAGCCAAGTCTCTGTTTTATAGCCGAGGCTGTTCATTCTCAAATCATGTTATTCCAGTTTTCAGCAATCCTTTCTGTTTCATTTTGCAGCTCCATAGAAGGAAGTTTATATTCTTCATCTTTGCTGTAGGAATTGGTGGGAGTTTCCAGTTTGGGTTCAATATATCTGCCATCAACCCACCATCGGAGGTAAGGAGAACATCCAAACGTCTTCATGCTCGCATTGCAAATACCACTCACAATTTTAGACGTTGACAATCACACACTGACAGACACTCAAACACTGACAGTTACACATTGACACACTCAAACACTGAGACGCACACTGACACACACACACACTGACACACACATACACACACACACTGACACACATGCATTGATACTCACACACTGACAGATACACACACACACACACACACACACAGAGACTTGCATACTGACACTCACACACTGACAGATACACACACACACACA